TGAAAATATTCAAGTTAGAGATGTGGGGGGCAATATGTCTCCTGATGTGTCCATATTCTACAGATGAATAGTAACTGTGTGAATTGAAGCTGCCATGGGGTATAGTCTATTAATTTCTACTGTATGCTAGAAGAGATGACAATAGGCTGATTTCTTTCTTTCAGATGGTTCAGTGTTCATTTATCAGAACAATAGGACCTAAACTTCTTTGTTTTCAATACATCTACTTCAAAGGATCCTTACATTTAGATATGCAATGAGGATGGCCATCCTTGAGAGCACATTTTTTCCCCCAAAACAGGTCATGAACCTGCATACTTAATTTTCCTTTCAAAAAGGTTGTGCTAAGGGGGCTGAGTTATGCTAAATACAATCAGGTTTACCCCATAAAATCCAATGGAAGAGAGGTATATAAAAATACACAAACTTGAGAAGAATTTAGAGAGAGAGACGGCAGAAGACGTTTTGGAACACCAGATACCAGAAACGTGTTGTCACATTTAGTTCAATGGTAGTTGTGGAATATATCCCTGGCACTTCTCTAAATGTTTGTCTTATGTCTTTTCTTGCTGTTTGTATTTAATACTATGTTAGAGTTCATCTAATACGTTTTCCTTTCTTTAACTAGATAGATTACTGGTTGTTAAATTTAGATCTTTTTACTATTTACTAATACATTTCTGTTGTTGTGTTGAAGCTTTCACTCATGGTTAAGAACCCTCATTTACCAAATCATATCAGAGAGATATTAAATAAAAAAATATATAGATTTAGATTAACAGAGCCTCCCCCTCTGCCCTTAATTTGGTGGACAGTGGTGAGTGCCCCTTACTGTCTGAAAGTGAAATAAGGCATATGGTGGCAAATAGTAACTAAATTAAGTTTAAATGTACTAAAACCAGTGGATCATGATAATGTTCAAGTACAACAGATAGATACCTTACAGTAAAACATGGTTTGTGAATATTTCAAGCAAATGAAAAGAATTGTCCAAGGATCAACATGGCACCACTCTGGCATGCTATTGTTTGTAAACAAGGGAATCATTCACTTTAAGGGGAAAATAAATGGATGTTTCAGCCTCTAGTCTGCTGCACAGGAGCAGTGAGCACTAAACATCAAAACTTTAGCATGTTCACATCCTGATAGATTTAAAAAGTCTAGAATAAATCTGTGCTTAACATTCATTGTATCATCAATAAAAAAATCTTGTTTTGGACTTCAGCACTTTAATCAATCAATAAGCAGCCACAGCGTAAAAACTCTGTCAAAACCTGAGCAATCCATTAGTTATGAAATATAACTGTATACACAGTAAATGATGATTTATGCTTTGAGTGGACTGATTTACTATAGGAGCAAATAACGTTCAACTATCAATGGGAATGTTCCCTTAACTTAAAGAGACTATATTAGAAAGGCAAAAATAAAAAAAGGTGTTGGTTTAAATTGTATGCAATTGACCATTGATGGTCCATTAGAAATGTTTAAGAGCAGGGCTTAGAAGAAAGTTCTGATACTGCCCAGAGTCACCACAATTATCAGAACTTTGCTCATCAGAATCAACTGAGATTCACCTAGCAAAGTAAAATAAACTTTTCTACCATTTTAGTAAATTAACCCAACAGATTTGCAAAACATATTATCACTACATAATAAAGAGTAGAGTCTGTATATGTTAAAAAAAAGTAGGGGTTTTCCCAAATTACAATTGCAAAGACAAACAATTGATGAATTGAATATTTGGTTCAGGGCAGGTTTCAAATTTTCTGATTTTCAGATGCGGAATCAGAATCCCTTTGATGTCAATGTGAGCCAAATCTTAGAAATTAGTAATACTAGTTTTCTAGGCTAATAGGGAAGGAACTGTTAAACAAATGGCATGGGGGCTTGGCACTGCCCTGGGGAACATGAACCAAAGCAAAACAAATAAATAAATAAATAAAAGTTCCATTTGTCTGGTAGAATGGTTATTAATAATGCTAGAAGTAAAATAAAGAAAACATCCTGGTATATGGCAGCTTCTGGTTGCTTCCTTATAAAGCTTATAGCAGAAAGAACAATGCACCCAATGTAAGGCATATTGAGTTGGCCAGCTGCAAGCATTTCTGTTTCACTGTATTTCTGACACTGGTGGCAGTGAAGGGGTTACATTTTAAGTGTTAATTAATTTAACTAATTTTAACAGATGTTTGATATTTGAGGGTTTTAATAAAACATGCTTTATAAGTAAATGTTCTGAACTTTGTCAGCTAGAAAGGTTGAGGAGGCTTTGCAACTCTGTTAACTTCAGTTGATGGAATATAGTTTACATTAACCTTAAGTATAGTACTGCTTATTGACACAGATTTCCTGTAAATACCCACTATTTTTTGTCTTTTATCTCCTCTTCACCATACACCTTATTTTTGTTTCCCTAATAGTGAAGAGCCAAATGTACCTGGGTTCCGTTTGGTCAGGTGCATTGAACATCACTGAAGCATGTGTGCTGAATCCAAACCAAATTTCAGTCAATCTTAGAAATGAGTAATGGTCATTTTATAGGGATTGTCAGCAATTGGAATGGGGGGCTGGGCACTGTTCTGGGGAACATGTACCAAAGCAACAGAAAAAAAGATCTGTTTGGTGGAGAGCAATGATTTTAATAATGCTTAAAGTGCAAAATTAAAAATGTAAAATTAATTTAAATAATAACATTGGTGGGGGTACCTTGAACCTGCCTGTAAAGTGATGCATCTTTATAGTGTAAGCAACCTAATATAGCAAAGCTGAAAAAATGCATTTTAAATTGCCAGTAAATGACAGCTTTGATTCTTATTGTAAACAAAGCTGCCTGAGATTCTCTTAATCTGTTCTAGACCCTTAGCCTAAACATGGGTGTGGTATGGATGTTAATGGAGGATCCACCACAGAAAAAAATGGTATGGGGTTCCCCCTAAAAATGCATATGATACCCTTATCTTTTATGAGGTGCTGGTATGGATGTAAAGGAAGACAGGGGGAGCTCAGAAAAACATAAAAAGTACATCCGCTCCAGACCCCTCTGGTATGGACCTAAGGGAGGAACTCCATGCAAAACACAAGAGAAGAAAAATGTTGGGGTCCCCCCAAAATCCATAGCAGACCCTTATCTGAGCATATAACCACCTGGTTGGCCAAGTACCTTATCCCTATGTTTGCTATGTTTGTTCAATGATTATGGAGGTCTACAGGCAAGGATTACCAGAATCTGGAAGACACCCTTAAGTCCCCCCCCCCCCTCCATGTGAGTGAGTACTCCTACTCAGTCACAAAGAAAGTAAACAGTAAGACAACACACTGACACTTTCAAACAAGTCTTTTTGAAAAAGAAAAAAGAAAACCAAACAAAACAAAACAGCTGACCCTCCAACACATCCAAATGGTCTGGTATTGAATTTGCCATTGTAGGTTTTTTTTTGCATTTAGTTCCACTTAAACCCTTTAACAGACCTGGGTGGTCTGATATGAATGTTTGAGGTACTACACAGCATTTTCTACCATATCTCTCTAACTTTGTTTACATTCACCTATCAACCAGGAATTCCCAGCTGATGGCTGAGTGGGCTGGGTATGGATAGGTCACTTGTTGTTAGGTCAGCTCCTTAACAACCAGCCTGAGTGGGAAGCTATCACATTTATCAGCAGTTGTAAAACTCCTTCTAAATGCACCACTTTCCATTGCAGCAAGGGGTTCAGCTTGGCTGAACACCCGTTTATTTCCATCGTTCACTGAACTTGGGTTCTGAACCGAACATGGTTTCTGACCAAACCAGGAGCTCATCCCAAATACAAAATGTACACAGTACACAAGTAACGTACATCATCACAGTTTGATAAGATTATTCATCTAAAAGGACATTTTTTAACATGTCTAATAAGAACTAGAAAAAAAATTACAATTTCTTTTAGCATTGCTAGTCAATGAAACATGGGAATAAATATCTGTATCTAATGCATATTATACATAATTAGTATTAATGCTTAGTTTAATGTGTGTACCTCACGCTTTTCTTTGCAGAGAATGTAATAATTGTTTGATCACATGTAGCTTACAATGCCTCAGTACAGATTTTCTTCACGGAATTCAGCTTAAAATGATCCCCCCTCCCACCACCCATTATATCAGCAAGCATGCATAGACCTGCTGACTACAAGAATAAAGATTGCAAGTGTCATACCTTGTCAGCATTACATGGTCTTTGAAATTGATTTTTCCAGAGGGCATGAAAAGAAAACTTACAAATGCATTGAACTTAACAGAAAATGCAATATCCAGCATTTAGCAAAAAAGGAGCTAGAGAATTAAAACACACACATACTGTATATACAGTGTCTCACGGAAGTGAGTACACCCCTCACATTTTTGTAAATATTTTATTATATCTTTTCATGTGACAACAAATTAGAAATTACACTTTGCTACAATGTAAAGTAGTGAGCATACAGCTTGTATAACAGTGTAAATTTGGTGTCCCCTCAAATAACTCAACACACAGCCATTAATGTCTAAACCGCTGGCAACAAAAGTGAGTACACCGCTAAGTGAAAATGTCCAAATTGGGCCCAAAGTGTCAACATTTTGTGTGGCCACCATTATTTTCCAGCACTGCCTTAAACCTGTTGGGCATGGATTTCACCAGAGCTTCACAGGTTGCCACGGGGGTCCTCTTCCACTCCTCCATGATGACATCACAGAGCTGGTGGCTCTTAGAGATCTTGCTCTCCTCCACCTTCCATTTGGGGATGCCCCACAGATGCTCAATAGGGTTTAGGTCTGGAGACATGCTTGGCCAGTCCATCACCTTTAACCTCAGCTTCTTTAGCAAGGCAGTGGTTGTCTTGGAGGTGTGTTTGGGGTCGTTATTATGTTGCAGTCAGTCTCCAAAGGGAGGGGATCATGCTCTGCTTCAGTATGTCAAAGTACATGTTGGCATTCATGGTTCCCTCAATGAACTGTAGCTCCCCAGTGCCAGCAGCACTCATGCAGCCCCCAACCATGACACTCCCACCACCATGCTTGACTGTAGGTAAGACACACTTGTCTTTGTACTCCTCACCTGGTTGCCGCCACAAATACTTGCCGCCACACATACTTGCTTGTCTTCTGCAAAATGTTTGCGGGCCTTCTTGTGCATCATCTTTAGAAGAGGCTTTCTTCTGGGATTACAACCATGCAGACCAATTTGATGCTGTGTGCGGCATATGGTCTGAGCACTGACAGGCTGACCCCCCCTCAACAACCTCTGCAGCAATGCTGGCAGCACTCATATGTCTATTTCCCAAAGACAACCTCTGGATATGATGCTGAGTACGTGCACTCAACTTCTTTGGTCGACCATGGCGAGGCCTATTCTGAATGGAACCTGTCATGTTAAACCTCTGTATAGTCTTGGCCACCGTGCTGCAGCTCAGTTTCAGGGTCTTGGCAATATTCTTATAGCCTAGGCCATCTTTATGTAGAGCAACAATTCTTTTTTTCAGATCCTCAGAGAGTTCTTTGCCATGAGGTGCCATGTTGAACTTCCAGTGACCAGTTTAAAGAGAGTAAGAGCGATAACACCAAATTTAACAAACCTGCTCCCCTTTCACACCTGAGACCTTGCAACACTAACGAGTCACATGACATCAGGGAGGGAGAATGGCTAATTGGGCCCAATTTGGACATTTTCACTTAGGGCTGTACTCACTTTTGTTGCCAGTGGTTTAGACATTAATGGCTGTGTATTGAGTTATATTGAGGGGACAGCAAATTTACACTGTTATACAAGCTGTACACTCACTACTCTACAATGTAGCGAAGTATCATTTCTTCAGTGTTGTCACATGAAAAGCTATAATAAAATATTTACAAAAATGTGAGGGGTGTACTCACTTCCGTGAGATACTGTATGTATATTTATAGTACAGCTTCCAAATCTGTACTTTTCTTTATAAGAGTGCTGTTCTGGGTTTTGAACTTTAAATGCATGACAGAATATAAAAATTACTTTAGCCAATATGTTCTCCAATGAGGGACTGGATAACAATGCATCATGAGTGCTTTTGGCAGTCTCAAACAAACACCAAATTCTGCCTCACACTACAAACTTTATAATTGTCAGTTTCTTTCTTGTTCATCTTAAAATGTCACAAAGGGAAGGAGAGATATGAGAAATTCAAATGGAAAGAGGAAAGAAATAATGTGAAGGGAAAAGGAAAGAAACAAATTGGGAGGGGAAGGGGCAATTCTGTACATTTTTCCACACTTTTCTCTGAAGTACTAGGAAGAAATAAGCAGTTTTAGAAAATGTTGCTGTTGTCCTGTGGCCAAACTTCTTTTTTCATCATAATATTTTTATTTGAATCTCTTTTTAGTGTCTATGTGAAAAAGTAATTTGACTTTCAACCTTTTTTTATTGAATTTTAAAGATAAAAAATCAAGTACAAAAATAACATCTGATACATAGAAGGCACAGGTATTATCCACAGTAGGTGAAAAAAAAAAATATATTGTATAGAAGGACGGAGTATAGCCTATATTGGTACAAAATAGGCTATAGCTGCCATGCCCCCGTTGTGGTCATAGGACCTACTTTGTTTAGATAATTATATCTCTCTAGCAAGCACAAGGAAACAGCATATGCATTGCTAATAAGGTCAGTGGAAGATATCCATCATAAAATAATTTTTAATAAGTGCAATAAACAACAAGGCCAGAAGTAAAGTTAGCCCTAATGATTTAAGTGGAGATGAGTACAGTAAAAGACATAGTAACAATGAGTGAAAGAGGAGAAGGAATCAAATTTAGAAGAAGGAATGAAGAGGGCAATACCCAGGCCTCATGTATCCACTGAAATGTATCTTATCCACATGTCTCATATCTTGTCAAATTTAGCCTCATTGTTTTTGGAGGGTACAGGTAAGTTTATTGTTGACCATTATCCAATTTAAATTATGTTTTACATAGTCAAGCACAGGGGCGGACTGACCATTTGGAAGCTCGGGCACTGCCTGAGGGCCAGGGGTCAGTAGGGGGCCCCATGAGATGCCCCTGCTACCTTTTTCATAGGCTTTTTTGCATTTGGGCAAGGACACAGGGACCCCATGATCCCCTATTGCCCAGGAGCCCCATGAGTTGTCAGTCCGCCCCTGATCAAGCATCACCACAGGTTGCTTCCAGTGCTTTGTGATGGTTATGACAATGGCATATATATAGAAATAACCATTTGCCCTTCTTTGGTATGTATAAGATTCTAGTTCATTATCTAATAAATTGATATTTTATTATCAATATTTTATGCCTCATTTAAAGTCCCATGGACAAATGATTTGTTCTGTTGTTAGAAGAATAAACGTTTCAAAACATAATCACCCAGAAAAAATAGATATTGAATATTTGCCTGTCTAGCTGTCATTGAGACTAATCTTCACTGTACTGCAGAGCCATAGCACCACTGCTATCTGACACTTCTAGGGTAGCAGATAATGTGTCCTCTAATGCATACTATGTCCACCCGCCAGCATTTTCCTCACGATGGGACACAGTATGCACATAATTTAATACATCATATTATGTACAATGTCTTTGGGTGTGTCACAGTGCTGGATTGGATTCTGGATCTTTTTTTGCCAATAATTGTTTTTGGGATTCTCTGATGGATGACTGATTGGACCCTGTGGGAGAGGAGGGGGGGGGGCTAAGCTGCTCAACCTCTGGTGCTCAGCATAGTGATTTTTTTCCAAGGTCACAGGTCTATGTATGTGGAATGAAGAGCTCCTCTATTGAAGAGTCATACACAGAAAGGTTTTAGTTCCAAACCTATTATAGGAGTTCCCTGGAATGGAAGCAGCATTAGTACCTCTTACTAGTAAGAAAATCTAAAAATCAACCCAAGCAAACAGATTTTGTAAAAATGTTTTATGTTATAATGAGTACTTTTGTGTCTATAAATATTTGCTATTTCTCTCTAGGGAAGCCATAGCTGGCTTAGTATTCTCAGGACTGTCCCATAATCCAACAGCATGGCACAGAATCTGGAGGTGTATAGCTACTTTTAGCAGAGTACATCTGTTGATAACTAGGGATCACCTTGGGTTCTGTCCAAACTCTGGGTCAGAGAGAATTTCAGCTGTTCAGAGGTTCATAGAATTGCAGGACTAAGTGGGTGGGACCAATGGCAGGACTAATACCCTTGGGTCTGGTATAGATTTTAATAGGGATACTCCCCTCAAAAACTAATTGAAAAAAGTGTGGTTTTCCATCCAAAATCCACACCAGACCTTTATTAGAGCATGCAACATACCCTCAACATAGAGAAGGTACCTTTCCAAACTAAAAATAAGTGGGGCCCAGGTACTATCCCCCTATGTGAATGGGCATGGACTACATAATGCGTCGACTCATGTACATTGTAAACAAATATAGACATGACCGTATTTACTCAGTGATATCACAGGAATTCCCCTGTCCTGTCCTGTCGGGCTGCATGCTCGGTGGGTGAAACTACTGCAATGCTTCTTTGTAGTTCATACACACATACAAATACATACTTTGAAACAACAGAAAAGCACTAGAGTTTGTCTGATTTAAACCACACTAAATATTTTCCTTCAGTTGCTTAGTTTTCCATTTGCAAAGATTAAGAAAACTTGCAGATTTTCAAATACCCTTTTTTTCTAGGTATATTTAGATAATTCACCATGATAATCAAAAGAAAAGCCTGAAGAAACAAGTGTCTGTGATATCACAGCACATAATAAAACAGTGGTTTGAATAATATTAGCGTCTTCCTGAACCTCTACTGATACTGAATGATTTCCCTTTACTTAAAGAAAAAAGAGATTATGGATTGAAAAAAAGCAGTATAAAGATCAGAAAAGTCAAGAAACACTTCAAAGTAAAGCAATACAAGAAAGGATTTACAATCTATACAAAAGATGATCTATTAAACCCAGGTTAGCTCATGCTTTCTTTGAAAGGAAGAGAAAGTACAGTGCAAGCTTTAGAAAAACACAGTAAGAGCCTAATATCAGTTTCATGACATGCTTTTTTACTTTTGTAGTTGTCTCAGTAAACACATTTTGAATTTTCAAAGAAAATATATTATGTATGTACAATAAATACTAGCATTGCCAGAATACAAATCAGCTTTGGATTGTCATTGTTACTTAGTCTAATTGGCCGAATATATGCATTTTTTTTCTTCCTAGAAAATATTAAATTGCATCTACTTATTATGGCTGTACTGCTAAGCATGCTGGTAACTGCCTCATTTCTATTCTGTTCATGAACTGCTCTCAGAATCTGTCAATCTGAAATTTATGAATAATACAAAGAATGAACAGCATAATGTGAATGTTAACTGCTTAAAACTGTAATTTTAATATCTGTTATGGTACTTCTAAATGCAAATTATATTTGAACCGTATGTTCAATTCTGAATAATAAACCAAGATCATAAGCCTATTAATATGCCCTTGTCTTAGGGGTTAACACCTTATTTACTATTCCTAAAATAGAGCAGATAATGCTTTCTTTTTGGGATTTTGTCCTCATTACTTGGACCATTTAGTTCTCCTATTATTCATGCATCACTACTTTTAAATGGATACTATGTTTCATGCACTACTTCTCTTTCTTTGTGCTCTGTATCAAGTGGTGGTAATCATTATATCCAAATTGAGTAACATAGCTTATTTTTTACATTACTGCTGGTTCCTTTTGAATCTTTAATGTTCTGTGACCAATATTTTTCTATTAAGTATATTCAAGAGTATTTCTCTGCACAGAATATTCTTCGTTAACATTTTTTGTAATGCAGGCTATTATTTTTTCATAATCCACACTACTGAAAATTGGGTGATTTTGTTTTTATTTTCTTTTTAAAATAACATACTTTTTGACTTGTGAAAAAAAACCACAATAAAGTTTTTTTCCCCGGTGCCAGTCCTTTTTTTTAATATTAGGTGATCATGCTGGATGTTGATGTCCAGTTGTATGGCCTTTTGTGAACCTACTTTGCTTAACTGGGCCCTGGTGCAGGGGACATATTCACCACCCTGTAGAATCCATGAGTTCAGCATAATGATCTACAAATTCTGGCTGGACCTTCTCTATGTTTTGAGTAGGTTCTGGTTTCCTTGGGTTTCACGCATTTGCTTCCTTCTATTGCTAGCAGATTAATCTACAGTTAGATTTATAGGCAGGCCCTGGAGCAAAACTTTTGCATCTTTGATCTTATGATCCTCCCCCCCTTAGGGACTCCTGATGGTTCTTCATTCTTTTCTTTACCTGACTAGAGATTTTCCTTTTCTCCTTTCGGGAGAAACCAGTCAAGAGCCCTTATCCCACCATTTTCCTTTGCCAGATTACAGTGTGAAATAGCAAAAATGTTCTGTTTGTTTTGTTTTCTGATATATATTTCTTTGTCTCCTTTTTTTCTCCATCTGTCTCTCCCTTCTCCCTCCTCTCTCCTTCCCCCCACTTGGCTGCACCCACACAGCTGACCTTGGATCTATTACAGTACTCTTTCCAC